AGGGTTTCGTACATATAAAGAACGCCGAAATCTGAGTTACAACAAAGAAGTTATGGCCCGTCGAAGTTTTACGGCAAAACCGGCGCGACACCGGGAAACGTAAATAGTGAATTTATGATAGAGGACTTTTTAGCCTTATTAATCTAAACAAAAGTTTTAGTATACGTTAAACCGAGAACATACAAAAAAAACACCCAAATCTGACTTCGTATGAAGAAGTTATGATTTTTTTCTAAGATTTGGCTTAGCAGTGCACGACCCAAAACTCGAATTCTAGTTCGAGCGGTTTTTGGCCTACGCGACCTAAATGAGAATTGAAGATCTTATTAATAGGAACTCAACGATAAAAAGATAGACGAAAACGGAGTCCGTATGAAGGAGTTACGAATTCTTTGCGGTCATTTAACAGTCTAATCTCCTCCTACTGTTGAATTTAAGATCGGTCGAGAATTAGCCGATGGAGTCTAAATGAAAATTGTAGATCTTGTTTTTACCTACGCTTGGATATAAAGAACGTCAAAAACAAAGTTCGTATGTGAAAGTTATGAATTTTTGAAAATCGGCTGATTTCCACCTTATGTGCGATGCCATGTGTCAGCACCAGGCGAAACCTTGGAGCCTACGCAACACCACGACGTGGTGAGAGGCACCATGACATGGTGACGACCCAGACAACCTATAAATAGAGGTGTCGGGTGAAGTTCATTCCTCACTCCTTCAATCCCTTATTTCTCTCTCTAACCCACCCCCCCCCCCCCCCCCAAAAAAAAAAAAAAAAAAAGCCTAGGGAATCTCCTAGCACGAGGCGGAAGCCCTGTAGCGCCCAACGGCTCCGAAAAGAAGAGTCTTCGTCTTAGAAACTCTGCTTCGGCAGAGCCCGGTTTTGAGAAAAACTCGTTGTAAGTGAGCTACGTCAACCATATCTTTAGTATAACTTATGTTTTAATATAGGAACATTATTAGGACCTTAAAATAATTATTTGGGCTATTATTATGAGTTATATAAGAGTGTTTCGCAATGCTTATATAATAGTAATAATAGCTAGACTATTAATTAGTTGCGGTTAACGTTATACTAAACCCTAGTGATATTGATACTAGGTTTTGTCAAGGGAAAATTGTTTTGAGATAACAAAGTGTTGTCCGAGTACCGAGTCACCACCTTTTCAAGTGAGTGCATAGTTACTTTCATCTTACACATAGATATAAAGTATTTTATATAAACTACGTGCTATGTGTGCATATTACTTGAATACTTGTTGTTTATGTTGGATGAACGAATTTATATATCTTTTAAATGATTTAAACTATATACGTATTATATATATCTACAAAATGTGTTGGGTAGAACATCAGGTAGATTAAAGATGAGATAAATGATGAGCGATGAGAGATGAGATGAATGATGAGCGATGATATATAAGTGGTAAAATATAGTGAGAAGTGATGAGCCAAAGAGATGAGCCAAACGATGACCTAAGCGATGACCCAAGTGATGGCCTCGTCATCTAGCAGAGTATGGATGACAACCATGGACTATTCTAGACAGTCTAGTGAAACACTAGCAGGCTCGCAACATGTAAGTGTTATGAACGATGAGTTTACCGGTGTACTCTAAAAACCCATTGACATGTATTGCGAGTGGACTCTCGAAAACGATATTGTCAATAAACGAAATAACCCTAGCAGTTGTGCTCGAAGGACAATATTGACAGTTGTGCCTCATAGAGAATGTCACAATAATGGCAGCTGCGCCTAAGTGATAGAATTAGCAGTTGTGCTTGACAACGATGGACTTCGTACCTATTCCTTAGGATAATCCTTAGGAATGAATGAATGAGAAATAGCTGATTCTTAGGGTAGATCCTTAAGAGTAAAGAAGATAATAGGGATGGGCAATTGGGTTAACTGATTGATGATTAAACATAATAATTATATTATTGTGGGTTGAAAACCCTATGTACTCACCAGGTTTCCCAACCTGACCCACTCAGTTTATTTATATTACAAATGTTGATATGAAGTCACATTACACTGAGAGATTAAAGGAGATATAAATCACTAGTGATAATGAATATAAGTTTTGTTTATGTTTACGTTTCAGTATTGACGATGACATCTCAAATGTTTTAAAATGAATACAAATACTTTTCTTCGGAAATGCTTTGATAACATATTTATCATATTTTACTGGGAACAAATTCCGCAACATTTTTATTAAAAAAGGTACTCTGATTTTTATAAAGCATAAACAAAATCGGTCTTTTCTGGCCGTGAAAATGGGGATGTCACATACGAGGATCAATCTTCTGATACCATTGTATCAGAGCTCTAGGTTAAAACCATACTGTTGACCACAAGTTGCAGTTGTTCCCCTTCTCCAATCCCATTCTCATCTTTTTCCTCCTAAAGAAAACTTCTCTCATATAAACAATCATCGTAGCCTTAGTTGCTACCTTCTCTGACGTCTTTTAGAGTCGACTTAACCGGACATCAGTTCTTCACTGTCGCTGGTGCATCTAGTTCTAACCGGTAAATCCTTCACCATTGTTGTCATCTCAAGATCTATTCGTCGTTGCCATCATTCACGTCTTGAAATCCAGTTACTACCGTCGATATGTCCAGTTCTTGATCTCCGTCGGCCTCCATCTTCTACTTTTTATCTTCATCTATGTCTTATGTCTTATGGTTTTGTTTTTCCAGTTTAATCGTGTAGGGAAATTTAGGGTTTGTGGTGGAGATCTGGATACCAACTTGGATCATGATATCACTTTCCAAACTGATATTTCTACCCTATGCCTGGGTTACAAGAAATTAAGCCTAGGATAATCCAAGTGTACACTTACGATTGTAGGCACATAAATCGTAAGTCAATATGCTAGAGGATTCTATGAAAGTATGACGAAAACGAGAGCTTAAGATCGTAACCCTCTTCCGAAGAGGAAGAATTGTTTATATATTAAACGAGATTAGGGTTTCATTAGGGTTGAGCCGTCATTAGTTGCTTTGGATGCAAGTAATGTTAATCCGGATTTAATGAGGATTTAGGGTTATCAAAACTAACGAGTTTCGTTAGTTTTACCATAATCACCCCCAAGAAATTGAATGTTCCACTATGTTTCCATATGTAAAATGCGGGACCCCAGCCAGAGGCTCTACCCTTGGACCCCGCTAGGGGCGCTACCCCTAGACCCCGCTAAAGGGGCGTTGCCCCTTTGGAAACCCCGGACCCAGGGGCGCTACCCCCGGACCCCCGACTAGTCGTCGAACCGACTTCCAATTCGATCTTATACATGTGTGCACTCCACATAACCCCATACATATATTATAGTACAAATTGTGAAGCATGTTAGTTTCAGTTACTTAAAATGACATGGTGACACTAAAATAACCAACAAATCGTCCCCTCCCGATAAAACTGCGGGGGAATGTTAGTGATTAGGGTTTAGGCCTATGCCCCTTAGGGTTTAGATTAGACCACTCTTATATCCTTATTTATATGAGTTTTAACACTTACCGAAAACGATCTATTATCTTACAACAAAGACAAATAAAACATATAACCATATGTCCATATTATAAAACTCGATATATAGTGTTGACAATATTTGTAACTTAGTGTAATATTATTTTCTTATTTGAGTTAAATTTTGTATTTGACTTATAAGATTATGTTTTGTGGACTAAGCAATAAAAACCGATATGGTAAAACTAGTTGAAAAGTTAGGTGATACTTGAATACTACTAGTTTATAGAAAATGACATTTGATAAACTAGTTGGAATATATAATTTATAATTAATAAAGTGTATTGTTATTGTATCTCATATCGGTGTGACACAGTTTTATAAGTGATCATATAATGTTGAAGTTTCAATTCTCTCCACAAGAGCTCTTTTTAATAGTTGATATAAGGCTACATATATCTGATATGTATATTTGACAAATTTTTAAAAAACATAGTAAGATCGTTGAAACATTAGTCCAAGTAGTTTGTTAGAAAACTGGAGTTTGGCAAAAATAACAACCTAAAAATACTTGAAAAACAAGCAAATAACATGCCAATTATAGTTTTATTTAAGTATTTTTATTTTAATTTTCTATCAAATTCATAATCAAATTTGAATAACATTTTAAAGAAACTCTAACCTTGCCACCTTGGTATAAAAGCATCTATGTAAAGTTATTTCACACTATTGAATAGAGTTACAAATTTACACTTCCTACTCATTTAGATTTATCTTTAACGACAATATGATTATAAAATTGAATAAGTTTAACTATATATATAAGAAAAAGGAACATCTTTATGTTATTCTCAATTTAATAAATTAATCATGAATAACCTAAAGTTACATCTCTGAAGAAAACCAAAAGTCCCTCCTCATCACATACATCGGGGTGTTTGGTTTGTTTTTTTAAGAGGCAAAAATTCTTTTTGGAAAAGTTACAAAAAATCAGGTCTTTCTAACTTTTTCAAAAAATCACTTTTCCTTCTATCTAAAATCCAAAAATCACTTTTAAAATATTTTTACAAAACATTATTTGTCATTTATCTTTTCCAAAAATAACTTTTGTCTTTCAAAAAGCAAGCAAACACCCCATCATCATCGTTTTATAATAATTTGCAATAATCATATGTTAGGAAATAATTAATCATAAAGAACCTAAAGTTACACCTAAATCTCAAGATAGCCAAAAGTTCCTCCTCATCACATCATTGTCGTTTTATAATAATTTGCAATAACCATATGTTATTATAATAATTTGCAATAATCATATGTTAGGAAATAATTAATCATAAAGAACCTAAAGTTACACCTAAATCTGAAGAAAGCCAATAGTTCCTCCTCATCACATCATTGTCGTTTTATAATAATTTGCAATAACCATATGTTAGGAAATAATTAGGGGTTTGAGCGTTTAGTGTTTTTGTAAGCGAGGAGGAACGTAGAAAGAAAATTGAAAAAATTTAATTTTATTATTGCGCATCCGGGGAATCGAACCCCGGTCAGTACCGTGGGAGGGTACTATGATACCACTACACTAGATGCGCTTACGCATAAATTTCTTTCAAATAATCAAAATAAAGTTTGGTTAATACTGATAATATAATATAATATCCAGCATCCAGTTAGATTCCGGTCAAAACTCACTTTTATTGCTTCTAACCAGATCGCAATTCTCGGGTTTGAGGTATACGTGAATTCGAAGAAAAGATGAGGGTAATCGGACTGACCGGAGGAATTGCGACGGGGAAAAGTACTGTTTCCAACCTCTTCAAAGCTAATGGATTTCCAGTTGTCGATGCCGACGTTGTCGCCCGTGTAAGACCCCTCACACACACTACCTCTGGCTCTGTTATTCTATTTCTCCATTTGACTTCCATATTGTGCAAACATTTAAGTAAAACCCTAGTTTTGAAGATAATTTATGATCGCTTCTGTTGTGAAGAGATCTCTATTGAACAGTAATTGCTTCTGAAGTAAACATATATCAATTGAACAATAACACTTGAATGTATGAATTACTTGGCCTGGCTTGAACCGTTTGCCCTTGAGTAGTGGGTGATCACAGACATACACGTAAATACTGATGCTCTTAGCATCACTAATTACTCTAAAGACTCGTGACTTGTATCCACTGGTGGGGATGCTTTTTTAACTGGAACTTCCTTGATACCAGGATTTGCTTTGTTGTGCAAGTATTTAGTTCAAGAAGTTGATGTTGGAAAAGCTCATTTCATTTGTTAAAAAGATTGTTAATCACTTTTTCAATGCTAATTTTGTGTGTGTTCACATTACAGGATGTATTAAAGAAAGGTACTGGTGGCTGGAGAAAGGTGGTTGCAGCTTTTGGGGAGGAGATATTGCTAGAAAATGGGGAAGTGGATCGGCCAAAGTTGGGTCAGATTGTATTCACGGATCCTTCAAAACGCCAGCTTCTTAATAGGTACATAAATGTCTGAATGGCTTTCTTAAGTTTATCACTAGAAAATCCTGAAGTTTTGTAAATCTGTTTGTAGGCTTCTTGCCTCGTACATTTCATATGGCATATTATGGGAAGTTTTTAAGCTATGGATAAAGGGTTGCAATACCATTATCCTTGATGTTCCTTTACTGTTTGAGGCGAAGATGGACAGGTGGACAAACCCAATCATTGTTGTGTGGGTTGATCCTGAAACACAGCTGAAACGCCTCATGGAAAGAGACAGAACATCTGCACAAGATGCTCAAAACAGGATAAATGCCCAAATGCCTTTGGATGAAAAAAGGTCTAAAGCAGACATAGTGATTGATAACAATGGGTCTCTAGAGGACTTAAATGAAAATTTTAGAAAGATATTAGATCAGGTTACCAAGCCCTTGACATGGACTGAATTTTGGCTTTCAAGACAAGGTGCTATAGTGGCTGTTGTATCAATATTTTCTGGTGTTCTTGGATGCAAGAAGTTGGTTGCACGCTTGTGATTTAATGGAAGTTGTTATGCCTTTGTGTATGTAATTTGCCAATTTTTTTTGGGATTCTTGTATTGTCCTATATAATTGGTGTCTCCATTTCATCACCAAGATTTGATCTTCATCTTCTTTATAAACTAGTTATTTCTTTTTTCAGTTTTAGCCTTTAGGTGGACCATTTATGGGATTTTTGAAGACATGTTATTACGTAGTATCAGCCACAAGATATGGTAAAAAGTCAGACTCCCATATCAACCTCTATATACGTATAGTTTATGCATACATTGCTCCCTGCTGCTTGAAAAATAAAATATGCATCGAAGTCATCTTGCTATTAAATTTCTTCTCTTGATTTTTGATTGCGTGATAACATTTGTTCTCATTCTTTCAAGAGTGAACCTATTATGAAATCTAATTAGTTAAAATGTAAGTAAAATTTTAGAAGAATATTCTTGGCTCGGCTCTAAAAACATAACACAATGTTTGGCACACGGGAGTGGACTACACAAAACATAACACAAAGCATAGGACAAGAAAGTTTGTCCAGACTGGTATAAATAAAACATAAGCTAGATGTCGACAAGTCCGGTATAAAAAAACATAACCTAAATGTCGCGAGACTTTCATGGAAGAACTTCTATTGTTAGCAAAGGTTGGTCTCTCCATTTTATCCCCAAGTTTTATTGATATTCTCAAGACAATTTCATTGTTTAATCGGACCATATTCCATGGAAATTCTCAAGACATGTCATTACGGGAATCAACTAGTTATATGATGCCTTTAGGATCCGAGTTCTTATGCTAGTGTTTTCGTTTTTTGTTTAAAAATCGATGTTTTTTTAGAACGGATCATATATGTATCCACTACTTTACTTCGAAATCTACATCTTTCATCTCAAATGAGACTTAAACACTCAATATTTAATTAAGGGGCATCTATCCGTCAACTCCTGATATGGCTAATCCATATTCCCTTTGGTTTAAAACTCCTCTTGTTATTTCTAAGCCATCTTACAATTAAAAAAATCTCTTGTTGTTTGGTCTCATTGGTGCAAGTCAACATCCATAATACACAACGATAACTTGTGGCCATTTTGATAGCATTTTATTGATTGTTTTGTTTAAATAGTGCATGTTTGTTATTGGTAAGAATAAAGATCTTGCTTTTATGCAACTTTTTCCCATTAGAGTTATTAGTGCAAGAAAAGGTCGCATGTCATTCAAACCCTTAGAAAGTTTAGTGAAACAATTGGCTCATTGGAAGTTGGAGAAGTGATACATAACTCCATAATTAAGAATCTTTTTGTTTTATGGTAGTTTGTCCTGTTTTCATTACCCTCTCCATTGTTTATATTATCTAAGGTCTAGAAAAGTGCTCCCATTTTTATATTTCACTATTTTTTTGTATGTTATGCTTTTGTCCTTTTGTTTTTGGGTCCGATTTCATATTCAATTTTCGAGTATCGAATGATTTACTCTTCAATGCTAATAAAATGATGAAGATTGTTTACTTTCAACTGGGAAAATTGTGTAATATCAATTTCTTTTAATAACATGCCTTCCAAAATTGAAAGCTGTGAGATTCAAACCACTTGCCCACCTTGATGGTGGTTTGAAATATCGATGTTAATTGCTATAATCAGTCGTTGCTATTATGGGTAAAATTAAAGTATATGAGCACATGATGTTCTTACTTCTTTGCCCTTGATTTTGCTGCTAACTGGTGTTTACCTTTCTGTTTAACCTTTTATATAGGTCTAACTTGAGGCTAACCTTTCTATTTGTTAATTCTTTTTTGGGCTAACATGAGGCTAGCCTTTCTATTTGTTCTTTTCTAGGTGTCTACAATTTGAGAGCATATCTCCACATCTCAAATAATAACTTATATATATATATATATATATATATATATATATATATATATATATATATATATATATATATATATATATATATATATATTTTTACTATATTGTTAACTAATTATTCATCGGTCACTTATTTATCTATTGTAAGTTTGTAACATTACTTTCTACCATTTATCGTAATAACATTTTGATTTTGCCACCCTTAATTCAGTTGAACCTAAAACCTCTTGCTTCATGACATGATAGAGCACCTAGTGTTTATTGCTGAAAGAAATCATTGGTTTATTGTTGTTGCAGTTGCAAAAATGACATGATATTTGCTTTTGACTGAAAAGCAAAAGGAGGGATATGGTGAGTGGTTGAGTGTTAAAATTGGAGATTGCAAAAAGTTTGTACTTTTTTTTTTTTTTTACTTTGAGTTGACAGTAAATAAATTAAAGATGCACAAATTTAAATTAGATGATGCAAATCTTCTTGAATACTCAACGGGTGGAGGATGTTTCACTTTGCTTTTAAAATAATTTTTTAGACTTTTAATTTTTTTAAAAAGTTAAAAAAGTCTAAAAAATGTTTGGCAAAATAGAAATGATTAAAAAGGAGCCTTTTAAAAAATCATGAAATCCTATTTTTTTACGACTTTTGATTTTTATCTTTTAAAAGTTTTAAAAGTCCACTCAAACATATTTTAAATACCTTCTTCTAGAAAAAGTTCTTTTTACAAAAGGACTTTTAACTTTAAAAAGGAATCTCAAACATACACTTAGAGTACCCACATCTCTACTCTTTCAATCCATTATTGCAATACCAACTAAGCATCGTGTTTAATATTTTATAAAGAAAAAGAACGGACCATTTAATATTAAATTCATAAAAATAATGGGCCATTTAATATTAAATTTATTAAAATAGATAAAGTAACTAAATATTATTAAATATGGACCATTATGTCTTTGTAAGGCTTGCAAATATAGCAAGAAGTAAATGTATGTGGCATCAAATATGAAACAGTTGGCATTGCAAAACAAATTGAAAGGTTGCGATGTAGATGGTTTTACATGACTGATGGTGGTGAGAAGTTGAGTAAAATTGATAGAATTTTGGTGGGTCCAAACTTCATGGGTAAATGGCCCAATGCATCTCACATTGCTCTTCAACGTGTTGTCTGATCACTGCCCACTTGTTCTTCTCACATCCATATCTGACTTTGGCCCTTCTCCCTTCCGATTTTTTAATAGTTGACTTATGGATCCAAACTTTGGTGATGTGGTGCGAGAGGCGGCTGCCTCTTTCCCATTCAATGGTCCTCCAGACAAGCTTCTTTCTTGTAAACTTCGAAAGATAAAGAATGCAATTAAACATTGGAAAAGTAAGACGATGGAAAGAGAAAATGGTGAGTTGAAGTCATTAAAGCGGTGGATTGATGGACTGGAAATTATTGTTGAATCGAGAGCTCTATCAAGTGTGGAATTGGAGAACCCTATGGAATGGAAACATAAATTATTGGATCTTGAACATAAAAAAAAAAAAACCTTGATCTTAAATAGAAGGCTAGAATACATTGGGCTGTCAAGGGTGAAGAAAACTCAAAGTTCTTTCATGGGATCATAAATAGCAACATTTCGAATAATCGGATCAATGGGCTCTCAATTATGGTGTATGATCTACCGATCCCACCTCTATTAAAAATGAGGTCTTATTTTTCAAAATTTTTTTTTCTAAAATGATGGATGTTAGACCTATATTAGAGTGCGATTTTCCTAATACACTATCGGAGTCGGATGCTACTCTTCTTATTGAACCGTTCAACTTATTGGAAGTGAAGACTACGGTTTGGAGCTGTGGGAATGAGCGGGCCTCGAGACTGGATGACTTCTCATTTAAATTTCTCAAATCTTTTTAGGATATTTTATAGAATGATTTCATGGGTATTTTTCATAATTTTCATTCTACTGGTATCCTAAACACCGGATGCAATTCATCATTTATTTTATTAGTCCCGGAAGTAAACGACCCTCTCTCACTCTCAGATTACAGGCCAATTAATTTAATTGGCTATATATATAAAGTAATTGCAAAAGTTCTTTCAAATCGCCTAAAAATGGCCATCGGTTCTGTTGCGGGTGAAGAACAAACCGCGTTCATTGCAGGTTGCAACATACTAGATGGGTCATTAATGATAAATGAAGCACTTTCTTCACTAAATCGAAACAACAAGGAGGCTCTCCTTTTGTATTATGCTTTAGCAAATTATTTATTTTTGTTTAATTGTAGCAACATTTGTTGATGAAGAAATCTATGAAATAAAAAACAAAATGTAACATTCGGATTTCCAGGTATCATAATTTAAGTATTTTTCTTTTGAGTTAAGAAGAGAGACTCGACGAGTTGACTCCTCAACTCATCGAGTAAGGTCACGACTGATGACTTGGATTAATGAATGGACTCGACTAGTCGGCGAGGCGACTCGACGAGTCCGTGTTGTTGGCAGAAACCCTAAATCTTTGGGTCCGAGCCATATTTAAAGGCACTTATGGCCTTCAATTGCGACTACCTTACCCATAAGTGAGAACCCTAGCAAGCTTGAGTGTGTAGAGTGAGAGGAAGAGCTATCTTGAGCTTTTTGGTGTGATTTTGCAAGAAAGGTGAAGAATTCCGGCAAGAGGGACCAAGGAAGGTTATTGTTCTGAGCTAGTCAAGTAAGGAGCTTCATTATGAGGTACAAAAATGAACCCATTTCCTTCCCTATTGTGTAGATTCCATTTTAGGGTTAGGGCTTGAATAACTTCATCTTTGGGGTTTTAAATGCCTCAAACCCCTCTTGCAAGTTTGTGTTATAGGTATGGACCCTTCTAGGTGCAGAGAGCCGAGAATATGAAGCTTTACTAGAGTAAACCATGGGGTTTGAAGTTAGGAATCTGGACCCTTCTAGGTCCAGAGAGCCGAGAATATGAAGCTTTAGTAGAGCAAACCTTGGGGTTTGAAGTTAGGAAGCATTTATGGGATTTTTATGGTATATATAGTTACTTTCATCTTACAATATATATGAAGTATTTTATATAAATTACGTGCTATGTGTGCATATTATTTGAATACTTGCTGTCTATGCTGGATGAACAATTTTATACATGTTTTAAAAGATTTAAACGGTATATTTATTTTATATCTACAAATATGTTGCAGATGAAACATGGGTAGATGAAATAGTTGGTGTGTGATGAAATAAAATGATGAGAGATAGGTGATGATAATTAGGTAAATAGATGATGATGAATAGGCGATGTGGGTTGAAAGGAGATACCATAACCTTAACTGACAATGTGGCGATGTAGTCATCTATCAGAGTATAGATGGTGACCACATACTATTCTGAACAATCCAGTGGAAACACCAGCAGGCCCATAACATGTAGGTGATGAATTACGAGTTCATGCGATGTTGTAACTACATATTCATGCGATGATACTCTATTACTATGAATTACGAGTTCAGACGATGTTGTAACTACGTATTCATGGGATGTCACAAATTCTGTATGCCAAATCAATGGTCATAATTCACATCAGTGAGAATGGTTCATTTTTTTTTAAAAACTAAAATCAGATTGAAAATTTTGATTTTTTTTTGGAAAATATCAAACCATTGGTTTTTTATTTCAGTTTCGGTTTTATGTTTTTTTTAATTATATTTTCAGGTTTTTTTTTTTTTTTTATTTCATAGATTTCTTCATCAACAAATGTTGGTACAATTTAAAAAAAAAAATAAATAATTTGCTAAAACATAATACAAAAGGAAGTTTGTTCATATTTAGTCATTGAACTTTTTAGAGGGAAACAAACTTTTGATTTTGTTCATATTTAATCACTAAATTTTTTTTCGTTATCCATTTACCACTAAACTATTAAAACTGTTTATATTTTACGTTATGACCAATAATAAAAATCCAAGTGAAAAAAATGAATTAATAATTAACCTAACAAATATTGTTGTAATTTGTGATCCACCTAGAGTTGTTGGGTTTGGTGCATATTTACTTTTGGGTATTTGTTCTGTCACGTGACATTAATGACGTGTTAGTGAATGGCTGTACCTTCCTGTGTATAGTGTGCTGACGTGTCCTCCACACCAAACATACCCTCCCCCATTCCACCACCTCCGTTATAACCACATTCCCACTCTCACTCCCTGCCATTTAGTTGTACACACCCTCGCCGGAAATTATGGCAAAGCTACCTGTTGCCGGTAACAACAGCACCTTCGACCACCTTGAGGCAAGTATAAGCTGCTAAACCGTATCAATAGTCGCTATGCGTCTTTGATCACGTTAATATATAGTTTCTTTCTTCTCTGAATATATAAGCTGTTTCCTTGTAATCAATTACTTTGCAGACTTGGATCTTGAGAGTTTACATCCATTGCGAAGGATGCAAGAAGAAAGTCTTCAAAGTCCTTCAGAGTATCGATGGTGATTAAATTAATCGTCTTGCTCCTTCCTTTTCATTCCTCTGTTTTCAGTTTTACTCCTCCGCTAATTAGGTATTATGTGTATGTCTCCGTGATATAATTTTTCAGGAGTTTATAAGACCGAAATCGATTCACTCCAGCACAAGGCTATAGTTACTGGATCCGTCGACGGCAATACTCTCGTCCAGAAGCTTCTAAAATCTGGTAAGCACGCGGAGGTGCTGCCGGAGAGTTTTGAAGCTAGGGCGGCTGCAGATAGTGCGCCCGGAAAGTCGAAGAAGAAGAAGAACAAACAGAACAAACAGAAGGAGGACGAAACAACACATGCTGATAACCAACATGCGGACGAAGAAAAAGAGGAATCGGAAGCGGCGACGACTGAAGGAAACAATGGCGCAAAAGAACAGGAAATAGCCCAGGCGGGTGTCGCCGCCGGTGATAGTAACGGTGGTGGTGGAAAGAAGAAAAACAAGAAAAAGAAAGGTAAAGTTGATAAAAAGGACAATAACGCACCACCAAACAGTGATACCCAAGTCCTACCTGCGGGCAATGCACCAGAGATAATGGCAGAAAATGTAGGGGCCTCCATGGAGCTGTTAAATCTCAGCCGTCCGGGGGTATACGCGACGCCGTACGATCTACCCGCATATCAGAACTACTACCCCACTCCGGCGTACGGGGTAAGTTACAGTACATCTTACCCTAGTGCTGAATCATCATACTATACCCCACCGGTGTATGGATACGCCCAATCACATCCAACATCCGTCTATTATCCACCACCACCACCACCTCCACCGGCGTATTATCCTAGAAGCGCGTTTGATGATCATGATGACGAAAATAATGGGCAGGGGAGGGGTTGCATTATCATGTGACGCAAGAATCATTCAGTTACAATCCTTGACAAAAAGTGAACTATGTAATATAAGTTTGTTGGACATATATAAAAGTTATATATCATAGTTTGAGTTACTAAATGTGATTAATTATAAATATGGTCTTAAAGTAGCGTTGTATGGATTTTGTAAAGTATAGTCGCTGCTGTAACTTGTAAATAATCAGTTGAAATATAATATAACAAACTATATAAAATAGCGCCCTAGTTTTATT